AAGTCGTTGTCACTACTTACTGGATAAGACTATTGGTCTTTTTCTTTATTCTTATTAAATAAAGTTATTGATCCTTATTATATTCATTTAATAAGATAATATAACTTGATAAACTATTATCCAGATAAAATTTGATAAATGATCCATAAATCCGAACCAAATTTACAGTTTATTGTTTATTTTAAATATTAAAAAATGTGGAAGTGGAGGAGGATTGCGTCCAATTCAGTAGTCGTAGGAGAGAGGTGTTAGAAGAGGATGGTTGGTTGGTGCCCTTACGTCTGAACACGTGTCACTGTCTGGCCATCGCTTACTATACACGCGTCTTCATATTCCACACGCGTGCTCTACAAGATCCACGGTTCATCTCACTCCCTCCCTGCCACGTGTCACTTCCAATGCTTCTAAAATACTCCCTCTTCACAAATAATTGACCAATAAAAAACCCACGTGAAGGCCATCAAGTTTTCGCAATTTTTCTTGGATTTATTTGAAAATGACGGTAAAAGGGTGGACAAGACATGGTGTCAAATCCTTTTTCTTAGTGTCGTATACCAATCAGTTATAATTTATACATATAATTTTATACTGTGTATCAATCAATTATATTTGATATCGACTTAATTCATATTAAACTTTTTTAGTGGATATACATTAATACCAGTTTTGTACCAACTTTACATTATATATGAAAACTTACCAATATTTTTCAAAATTTAAATGAAAATTTGAGTTTTCAAGTAACACATAATATTTGACGGGTTTTAATTGTAACGAATAAAATTTGCAAACATTTAGATGTTTAAATAAAATAATTAAAGTTTCAAGGTTTAATATCAAGTCCATAAAGTTACACAAAAACAAATAAAAAATAAATAAATCGGTACCATGGTACTACCGTGGTATGCAACTTTTAATACCTTGTACCAACCAAGTTTGCATATTTGTTACAGTATCACCAACCGATAATTAAGTTGGTCTGGTTCGTATACATGTTGGTTGGTATGATTTGGTACAAAATTGTCACCAGTAATATATAGAGAAATTGAGATCAAAGAGTGAACGAAAAATTTGGTCTCTATAATATTTCAAAATATCAATTTTTTTTGTTTTTACAATTTTGAAATCACAAAATACCTATCGTGGTTTGTAAGAAAGTTGGGATTTGGTTTTTTCGTTTAACGGTTGTCAAAAACTTTCATTAAATATGATGTTTTTTTTGTTTTTTTTTCCTTAATTTTTTTACCTGATCAAAATTGATTTATGATTGTAATTTATATGTATTGGGTAAAAGAGAAAAAAGAATGATAAAAGGACGAGAAATTTCTCTTATTTAACGGAATTCTTTTACGACCGTTAGAGAAAGGGATCAAATCCAGACGTTTTACAAACTATGACAACTATGACATGCCATCAAATGAATTTGTTAATGATGATTTTCCTATCAATCCACTTTTTTTTTTAAAGTATATATAATATTTATAATATGATAAGTAGAACAAATAAACTCATACATCGTTATCATATTTGATAAGGTTTGAATCTCTGACCTTATAAGACGCCAAAGATTTACTTACCGCTAAACCAAAGACCTTTTGATAGGTGAGACCCACTTTTTATATACAAAAGTATTGGAAAATAAACCCATTGTAAATCACCATTTTGTAGGTTTTTAGTGATCTCTAGAAATCGCCAGCCAATAATATAATGACATGTGTCATCTTTTGCAATAATTATTTTAGACCAAAAATAAATAAAATAAAAAGAAAACAAGACACTAAAAAATCGATCAAATAAACGACTTATTCAACCAGACCAAAAGTGTTATTACAAGAGGCATTTTATAACAACAATTTATAACACGCTTCTTTATCGTATATGAACTGTCATTAGGACCGTCCCTTAACATGTTAAATGTGAGATTTTGAACAGACCCCCAATATTCACATGTGTTTAGGGTCTTTTATCAACCTGTGTAAATCTGTAGCCAAAATCATTTAAACTCAACCCATTAATTGTTTGGTTTTAAGTTCAAATCATTAACAGTTTAAGTTTAATTTTGGATTGTTAATCGTTTTAGGTTTAGCTCATTTTCATTCTTAACATATATCATCTGTTATCTGATTTATGCAATGTAATCAAAAGTCTATAGCAGAGCGTCCAAAAAGATTGGAACGTCTCTGAATGTGATGCAGATTTTATCTACAATTTGCTAATAATTATAATAGTACCACCATTATTATTTAAAGTTATCTTTAATTCTCGTTATTATTATAATGTAAAATGACTTAATAAGTTACAGAAAGTCTTAATTCACTCGTTCTCTTTCTTAAGCATTATTTTAAATCATGTTGTCTGTAGTAATAATAATAAGGAATCTTAATGAAAAAGTCATTTATCCATATCTTTAAAGTCGTTATCTGACTCAATTATTCTTCATTTTTAATTAACTAAATAATATTATGGAGCTTACGTTATGTTGAGTTGAATTTCATGTATCATAGAAACTTATTTGTTAAGCAAAAACATTTTAGGTGATGTTTGGGATTGCTTATAAAAATAACTTATTGACTTATTGTGGTGTAACACCGATAATAAGCATTTGAGTGTCTGGATAAACATCTTATACAGGTGCCAAATCGGTAATAAATAGTTTTTGAAGAAGTTAAACCTTTCCAACTTATAATAAGTTGATAAGTGCTTTTGTAGAAAAGTATAAGTTGTTTCAAATAAGCAAACCCAAACACCCCTTATAAGAAAATCGTTACTGATATTGATAATTAAAATCTTTTAAAAAGATCTGATTGTCAATTAGAGATGGTTAAAAATCGGTCTTGGATTGGGCCCAAATCGTTCTAACGGGTTGTTTGTTTATCACTTAATAGTTCTATTAAAAGACAGTCTCTGAATTGTTAAGAGGTAATCTTGTTTGGCCAAAAAAATGTCTGCATTTTAATGGTTCTAAAACCTTTTGAATGATTTTGTATCTTGGGCCTTCCTTGACCATTTAGCACCCTAATTCATTGTAAACATTTAGGGTGCGTTTGGTACATTGGACATGGTGGGACAGGACAGGACATAACACAATTGTCCTATGTTTGGTGTGGTTTTATGTGGGACTAACTAGAACAAACTAGAACAAGGGTGGGACAAGGTTGTCCACCCTTTACCCATGGAACTAAGTAGAACAAGAAACTTTTTACCACTTTACCCTCAAAAACCTCATACGCATACTTTCCTTCTTCCCCTTCACTCTCCTCTCCTCCATCGCTTCTACCGCTCAACCGCGACCGGTGACGACGACTTCCGATGGCCGCCGCTGCTGCTTCTCCGATGGTCGCCGCTGCTGCTTCTCCGATGGCCGCCGCTGCTGCTTCTCCGATGGCCGCCGCCGCTGCTTCTCTGGATGGCCGCCGCTACTGCTTCTCCCGATGGCGCTGCTGCTTCTTCCGATGGCCGCCGCTGCTGCTTCTTCGATGGCCGCTGCTGCTTCTTACAGCAACTACATCACGAATTTGAAGAAACTCTTCAAATACCTTTCTTCTTGTTTCATGCAAGTAAGGAATTATATTTTGATGGTGGTTTCGTACTCGATTTCGCCAACAACTTGATTAATTGAAGTACTTATTAGGGATTTTAATGAAGTATTATGATTTATTTTGAGAGTTTACATTGATTATRATTGCTGAATGTTGTTGTTGTTGTTGATGAATTATTAGGGCTGTAGTGGTAGTAGGACCAGTGTTACCAGAATGCATTTCGTAGTGAAAAAACACTAAACAGCTCACTAGGGGTAAATTGGTCATTTTGACCAGTTCTATCATGTCCTGTCCTGTCTTACCAAACGCTGAACAACTGTCCTGTCCTGTCCCGTCCTGTCCTGTCCTGTCCTGTCCAGTCCTGTCTGCGCACCAAACGCACCCTTACTAAACAATTATATTTCATTATGCACTATATCATGAGAGCTTCTTAATCATCATGATCACTTAATCATTCTCCAAAAATCAATCTTGAACATAAAAAGTATTGTTTGAATATTATTTTTTGGGATAATATCTCATCAAAATACATTTTAAAGTCCCTAATTAAGTCATTTAAATACAGTTTAAAAAAATAATTTATATACAAAAAACATTCTAGATATTTTTATAGTTACGATTTTTGAGATTTTATTACTAGAATACTTGTAAAAACTTGAAAAACATAAAAAACATAAAAAAAAAAAACTCAAAAAACGTTAAAAAAAAACTTGAAGGTTTTAGCAAAAAACTTGAAAATCTTGTAGAAATATTGAAAAACTTGATATGTAATTTATAAAAACTTATTTTTAAAAAAAAATTGGGCCTATGTATAACCGGTCAGATAGAAAAGGATAATTTATTTAATATTTATTATAAAATTTAACTATTTTGCAAATTTTTAATCAATTTTAAAGATGGATCTATTCAAAGAATCCATCTAGGGGTGTTTGGGATTGTTATTTGAAATAATTTATGTTTTTTTTATAAAAATCCTTATCAACTTATTATAAGTTAGAATGATTTAACTTTTTTAAAAATTCATTATTAGCAGTTTGACACTGATATAAGCTGTTTAACCAAACACTCAAAAGTGTTTATTACTGATGTTAAATCATAATAAATCAATAAGTTGTTTTTATAGACAATCTCAAACACCCAATTAATATAAATTTTGTGAACGGGAAATACGAAAATGTTATTGATTCCATTATTTTGTAAATTAAAAAAAATAAAAAATATATTTATTTATTTTAATATCCACGTAAGCAGTTATCGACTTAAAATCCCAGATAAAAAACAAAAATGCTTCTAGAAAACGAAGGTTTCTGAAGATTCCGTTATTTAGGTAGATCACAAGGGCAATTCAGTAATTTCAAACCCTTTCCCTCGCCTTGCCGCTAAGCAACATTTTCCATTTCTTTTTCCTTTTCTTTTTGCTTACAAATAAAATAACCGCCTGTATGCAAAACAGGAAAAGAAGGACCCCCCTTTTCTTCGTTTTTTTCTGATAACTTCTTCTCATCAACAAATTCCTCGATTTCCCAAATAATTTTCGATTTTGTTTGTGAATGTGCTGATTGATCTTCAATATTGATTTGAATCTCATGATTTGATTCGTTTGAATCGAAGAATTTGATCTGCTTTGTTGATCATTTGTATATGATCAAAACCTAGGTTTTTAGATTGCAGGAAATTAATCATGGCGGTTCCGACGATAGCACTGTACGCGAGTCCTCCGAGTGGTGTATGTTCAACGCCGTATCCATGTCAGATCAATTCACATGGATCTTATGATTTCGATTTTAACAGCCGTCCGTCGTCTTCGTCGACGGCGACAGCTTCGTCTTCACAAAAGCCAATTATTGGTGGACTTTCGTCTCTTTTCTCTTCTTCGTCAAGCTTTTCGTCCGGTGGAGCGGAAGACTTGACTTCGTTGAGAGGTGGTGAGGAGTTGAGCAATTCTTTTTCCTACTCGGCGTTTGGATCCTGTTTAAAACGGGATCATTTTCATCAGAGTCCGGTGTCGGTGATTCAAGGTCCGGTTTCGTTAAGTAGTACTCCGTCGATGAGATTTTCGCCGGAAAGAGATGGTTCCGTCCGTGTCGGGACCAGGCGGTTGTTTAAAGGGTTTGTTACACACGCCTTAGGCTCGTGCGTAGATCATTCGCCGAGCTTTCATCTGCATGATAATTTGGCTGAAGAACTCACATTTATTATGGATGATAATAATTTGAAGGAACAAAATCCGGAGCCATATGCTAAAGAAATGCTTTTGGCTGCTCAGTTAAGACATGATATATTTAATGATGAGTTGGTTATCAAAGCTTTCTATGAAGCCGCGAAAGCCCATAAAGGGCAGGTATTGATTAATGTTGCTTCCGTAATTTTACGGGATTTGCTTTCCTATTTATTTTATGCATTAAAGTTGGGATATTGATCTTGTAGATGCGAGCCAGTGGGGATCCTTATTTACAACATTGTGTGGAAACTGCGGGTTTGCTGGCGACGATAGGTGCCAACGCTGTGGTAGTTGCAGCGGGGCTTCTACATGACACGCTTGATGATTCTTTTATGAGCTATGACTATATCCTCCAAACTTTCGGAACAGGACTTGCTGATCTTGTCGAAGGGGTATGAATCTACGAGATGAAATATCTGTTCATCATGTGCATTCTTTTATATGGTTTCCTAATCTTGTTATGCATTTATTTGTCAAATATCGTGCTTGTCAAAGTTATGTATTTACTTACACCACGAGTTTACTCTTTTTTGTACATTATTACTGGATCGTTTGAAGGAGTTAGATTTAAGAAGAAAGTCTGATGCAATTGAATGAACCAGTTACATATATAGATATAGATTTATGTGTGCAGTGTATAGGAAAATGATGTTGGAGTTATTGCACATGAGGAATAGCTCTATAAGAGAAGTCTTCCCTCATACAGTCCCTCACTGTGTGGGGGATCTTTGTGTTGCGAGTGAGGAATGGTGCCCTGTACACACTATGTTACCAATGCACAATTGTCACCTCAATCATCATTGTATCAGGACTCTTCAGCCTTTTCTATTTCAATTGAATATAAATTAATTTCTCAAATGAAAATATCTTCATTTTGAATTCAATTTTAAAGTGAGGTTATTGAGCATGTTCTCTTATTGGGAAAATATCTTCAATTTGAAATTCAATTTTTAAGTGAGGTGGTTGAGTTAATAAGAAGATTGAGAGGCAAAGGATTCGCTTAACCATTCTTTTCCTTTGTTAGCCTTAATTTGTTGGTGAGCACCATCTCTTCCCCTCCGTGGCTTGGGACATTATTTTAGTTGTGAATATGGCCTGAAGTCTGCAAAATTAGGTAGTTTGTGTCATTGTTCGTCAGGACTCTGTGGTTGTTTGGTGTCGGTAATATTGGCATCCATCTTTTAAAAGGGTCTTTCTAATTTAAACTCTTCGACTATTTTGTTGTATATATGCAGGTGTCCAAGTTGAGTCAAATGAGTAAGCTTGCTCGCGAAAGCAATACAGCAACTAAAACTGTTGAGGCAGATCGTATGCACACCATGTTTCTTGCAATGGCTGATGCCAGGGCGGTGCTTATAAAATTGGCTGATAGGCTGCACAATATGATGACACTGGACGCGTTACCTTTGTGTAAGCAACATAGATTTGCAAAGGAGACTATGGAGATATTTGCTCCTCTGGCAAACCGTTTGGGTATCCTTAGTTGGAAGGAGCAGTTGGAAAATCTCTGTTTCAAATATATCAACCCGGAGCAGTACAAAGATCTATCCTCGCAACTTCTAAAGTCCTTTAATGAGGCAATGATCCCTTCTGCTGTAAAAAAATTGGAGCAAGCTCTTAAGGATGGATCCATTTCTTATCATGTTCTTTATGGGAGGCATAAAAGCTTGTATAGCATTCATTCCAAAATGCTAAAGTACATCTCTCTTCCCTATTACCATATTATTGAAGTTCACTGTTTTTCTTTCCTCTCTTTCTTGGTTGCAAAAATTTTCTTTTACATCATTACATGTTAATTATGTGACATACCATTTGCATAATTAAGAAACATTTGGTTTCCCATTTACCCTTTTGCTGTAGAAATTTTACTAGCAGTGAACTTCATAACTAGTGTCTGTTTATGCAATTATTATTTGGAAATAAAAAGGGAGGGGTAGGCCTTAGAGGAGGGGTGGGTAGAGGAAGACGTGAAATGAGCAGTTGAGGTCGGACATGGCGGCTTTTGACCTTCCAACGACATGACATGTGATGAGAGTACTTGGAGACATAAGCCCAAGGTAGCGGATTAGGTTTGGGGAGTGGTAACCAGAAGGGAGTTGAACTTTTTTTTTTTTGGGGGGGGGGGGGGGGGAGGTTGAGGGCTCTAGAGATGTGCTTTTTTGTCTTACTTCCTCTCTGTTCTTTTGCCTTCTTTACCTTGATTTTGCTTCGTTCATCGTATGTTAATCTACCTGCTTGCTCACACTAATGCAAAAGCCGGGGGTCTTGTTTCCGCTCTACTCTTTTTGGGTAAAGGTCAGGTCCGCGTAAGTCTCCCTCCAAATCCCCTACTTTCGAGTTGATTTGAAAGGAGGGGCAACTTCCAAAAACTGTATTTAGACTTGTACATCTGTAACGTATTATAATTTCATCGTTTTATGGCATCCAACTTTCTAAATATTGTATGTTTGTATCATCTTGACATTGTATACATTTTGGTGTAGGAAGAAGCTGAGTATGAACGAAATCCATGATATTCATGGGCTACGGCTGATTGTGGAAAATGTAGAGGAATGCTATAAAGCATTACAGCTAGTTCACCAGTTATGGTCTGAAGTACCTGGAAAGTTCAAAGACTACATAAATCAGCCCAAATGTAATGGGTATGTTAATGGAATATATACTCCTCTCTCTCCATTTAATGGCATAAAGATTCCCTTCTCAGCATATTTAATTTTATTCGAAAAGTGAACATCATTTTGTAGGTATCGGTCTTTGCACACAGTAGTRATGGGRGAGGGATYGGTTCCACTTGAAGTTCAGATCAGAACGAAAGAGATGCACTCACAAGCCGAGTTTGGATTTGCAGCTCATTGGAGATACAAGGAAGGTGATTGTATGCATTCTTCGTTTGTGCTACAGATGGTTGAATGGGCGCGTTGGGTTGTCACATGGCAGTGTGAGACAATGATGAAAGATAAATCGCGTATTGGCTACACCGATGCCATGAAACCGCCCTGCAAATTCCCTTTTCATGCCGAAGATTGCCCACATTCGTATAAACCTTCCTGTGGATCTGTTGGACCTGTGTTTGTCATCGTGATCGAGAACGACAAGGTTAGTAATTTAGAAGTTATAAAGAATGTCTTCTTTTTGAGACCCTTAGTTCCTTTTACCTTATGACCTTGGTCATTGTGTTCAATTCTAACTAAGGCCAGCTTTGACAACCATAGACTAGCTCCTTTTTATCTTATTGAAATGTTTTCTGTTAAAAGCTTAATGAGCTTCATGGGGGGGACAATTTATTCAGTCAGCTATACATGATTGTTTGATAATGGTCTAATGATATAGAAAGTGACTTATTAAGCTTCTAGGGGAGAGCTTTATGCAGAAAGCGAAGTTTTTTCCAAACATGTCCTCCCAATTAACAAACACGTGTTTTCGATCTATAAAAAACCATCTCAAACAAAACCCTTTCTAATTTATACAGATAGATTAATCCACACAGACAGCTTCATTCATGCACGGCTTGATGAAAAAACAATCAAACAGCCCATGAGCTTAGCTTCTTGAAAAGCTATTGCTTTCAACATGTTCTTTTAGGTTATTTTTCATTCTTATAAGCCTCCAACAGATTCTCTAAGTTTTTTCCAAAATGGAGAATCAAAATTCAGAGATTTGCATTCAACTCCATGAGCTTCTCCATTTTGGAGATTATATTGTTAGATTATTATATATATATTTAATAAAATATTTTCTCTCCTAAACATTTAATTTCAGCTGAATATAATAATAAAAAGAGTAAATTACATGTTTCATCTGTGTGGTTAGTTGTTTTTTATGGTCCTTGTCTATTTTTCTGAAAATTTAACAAAACGTGTCCTTGTGGTTGCATTTTCTTAATGATTTCGGTTCTTGTAGTTGCAGTTTTTTAATGAGTTCGGTCCCTAAATAAATCAACAACATGGGTCTCTGTAGTTGTCTTAAGGACCCACATTGTAAAAATGCAATCATGGAGACATGATACATTGAATTTTTTAAAAAGGGACAAGGACCGTTATGTACGTATAAACCACAGGGACGAAACCTGTAATTTACTTTAAAAACCTCTCATGGTAATTTTTTTTTGGGTAGTTCTCCAGATTCGGAGAATTTGTGGCACACTCCAACTTTCTCAATTTTGGGCAGTCTGCTGGGGAAAGAGCTTGTCGAAAATCTCCAAAATCTATATTTTCTCCGTTTTGGAAAATCTGTTCGAGATGCTCTAAGATAGATAACTTTTACCAAACATGACTAGCTTATCAACAAACAAATAGCTTATCAGTTATTTTCCGTGGGTGATGTTGACAGATGTCGGTACAAGAATTCCCGGCAAATTCAACCCTTAATGATGCCGTAGCTAGAGCTAGTCAGGGATGGAGTCCATATGGGTTTCCGGTGAAGCAAGAGTTGATGCCAATGCTGAATCGTAAGCGGGCAAATGATCCGAGTAGTTGCAAGCTGAAAATGGGAGATGTGGTGGAACTAACCCCAAAGATACCCGACAAATCTCTAACGGAGTACAGGGAAGAAATCCAACGAATGTACGAAAGCGGAATTTCGGCAAAAACGCCAACTGCTGGTAACATGGTTGGATGGAGCAGACGATGACCCAAAAATAGGTTGGGAGAATGATTTGTTGTAAATATAGGAGGGTCAAATATTTGTACAGAACAGGTTCTTTATGGGTGAGTAGTGCTAGAAATACATATCATCTAAAAGAAAACTGTTCCCATTTCTTATATTATATGTAATACAACATTTTATATGTATCAGGTAAATCTACTAAAAAAAAATAGGTAAAAGTTTAAAATAACCCAATGGACTCTAGTGTTTGGAATGATTAAGTTTTGGATAATTTTTTGGAACAAATAAGTCTTTACGTATTTCAAAACATGTTAAAATAACTTTTTGGACTTTCTAAAACCTGTTAGATACATTTTTTGACTTATACAACTGGTTAATATGGTAAAACAATGAAAAAAGTCTTAGAAAAAAGCCAATAAACATATGATTAAGTTCTTAAACATTTTTTTTGAACAAAAAAAGTACTTAGATCTATAAAATGAAACAATGAAGATTCTTTTAACAGTTATATTATTTTAGAAATTTTAGAGATTCGGTAAAAATTTGTTCCAATAGTTATGTTAAATTTTCTTTTAAAATAGTGGAAATAAGAGAGAAAGGATAAGGCCTTGTTTGTTTTTGGAAAATAACTCTTATCGGTAAAAGACAGGATATTCAGATTGTTTGTTTTTTCAATATTTTAGAGATACTTATGTCTTATTGTTCTCTTATCTGAAAAGAGGTAAACCAACATCATATTTACCTCTTCTCTTGGTTGGTTTCTTATCCTTGTATAATAATTAATACTCATGTTTGATTCAATCTATAATTTTAAAAAACACAAAAGATATATAAAAAATCATCAAAATTTAAGCTAAAAAACAACAAATTTTAGATCCTTAGAACTCGAACCGGTGCTTTTTGTACAAAAGTCGTGAATTCTTGTGTTAACATTTCAGTTTCAAAAACAATACAATAACACCTTTCATAAACTCAATACACAACACGATCTATCTCCAGAAGAAATGTTGAACAGATTCTTGCCAATACACAACGAACAACAGCATCCCCAAAAACGCAGCTAATCCCCATGACGATCTCCCAATCCTCAACGAAGAAGACGATGAATCCTCTGTAGCATTTGATGAAGAAGATGATGAAGTGGTTTTAATGGCAACAATTAGACCTCCAAGAACCATTGGCAAAACGAATCCCGAATTCCATAATCTCGTCTCCAAATAAGCATCCTTTTGACCAACATTCACATACAATGGCGAAAGCACGATAGCTGTAACCATGGCGAAAACCATCGCCATTCCTCTTTTCTGTGATCTGTTCTGAATTGAGACGTAATCGGAAGCAGAATCAATCGTCGCCATTCCACAGTTTAGCGTTCGATTTTTAGGATGATCGGAAGGTTTGGAGGATGATATGACTTGATTTTAGGGTTTTTCTTTATAGAAGAGGAAGGTTGGGAATGTTGACAACGGATCTAGAAAAGGAACCCAAACGTCTTTTTAACCAAATTCACTTTTTAGCTATTTTTTTTTTTAAAGGATAAATTGTATGCAAAACTAATATATTAAAAATTTGATTTATATTTTGGATAACATATCAGGTAAGATCTTAATCCTTATCATATTCATCTGATAAAGTAATATGACTTAGTAAATACCTACCCGGATAAACATTTGATATAAAAAATAGCTAAAAAATGAATCTGATTGAAAATACCAGTTATATATTATTTCCCCTTTAGAAAGAAAGGAAAAAGTGATGAATGAGAGCCGTCCAAAAAGGTAAACAAAGGGGACATCATCATCGTCTTCTCCGGGCCTTTAGGGTTTGGATCATCCTTCAAACTTCCACACCAAACAAAGAATCTTGAGATATTTACAAAATTGGTCCTTGTGATTTTCGTAACGTATTAAGTTTCTTGTCTTAACTAAGTTAAGGCGGTGTTTGGATTGCTTATAAAAACAATTTATTGAATTATTCCGGTGTGATACTGGTAATAAACACTTTTTAATGTTTGGATAAACAACTTATACCGGTACTAAACCGGTAATAAGAAGTTTTTAAAAAAGTTAAACCATTCTAACTTATAATAAGTCGATAAAGACTTTTGTAGGGAAGTATAAGTTGTTTCGAATAAGCAATCTCAAACACCCCCTAAATTTGCTCGGTTAAATTAAGGGTATTTTTGTCTTTTTAACTAGTAATTATAAAATCATTAACCACAAGGGTGGTGCCTGATTGGATTGAGCTTGACTCCAAAGATCAAAAGTACCAGGAGGTCCCAGGTTCAAATTCAAGGAGAATTAAAAATCCTCTTGTGGCCACGGAGATTCAAATGCGGTGACTCCGGGCTATCTGCAAAGCAGGTGGTCGTCCTGAGCTTAGTCGGCTCGCATAGCGGGTTGAATATTCAGGTTAATAAAAAAACTAGAAATTATATACTTCCAAAAAAACTTTGTACAAATCGTACACAGTCAAATTGCAGATCACCTACAACGATATAATTATATAAATGGAAGAACGCGATAAATTTGAGTATCAAAGCAGACAAGTGTTTTGCGCATTTGGGATACTTATAATTTTGTGAGAATGAAATGGGTTTTTCAGTTCTTGAAATACAAGACGATACAAACTCTTCTACTTATATTAAGAAAAGAAAAGAAAATCAGATACAAAAAGGTTGTGAATATCTGGGTTTGCCTCATTGCTGATGTCCAGATTTTGTCAGTTTATTAATTTATAAATAACTGATTTTTTAAAAACTTAATTTTTATAATATTTCACTTATTTTTATACATTTTTTTATTTATGATTAAAGTAATAATATTTTCTGATATAAATAACTGTATATTTATACAAACCCAGTACATTAGTTTATATACACGATACAAATTAAAAGTTGTGGGCCATAAAAAGTTCGAAAAGGCTTGAGAAAAGTTCTCGTTATAAAATGCTATGTTGACTTTTTTAGTTGGTGTTGATCATAACAAAATATCTTGAAATTTCAAAACGCTTAAATTCAGCAGATACCAATGTGAACGATCTGATAAAAAACCAAGCAATATCAATGATTCTCGTTCCCATTTATGCCCTCTTGGATGATTGAACATGATGATATACAGTACATCGTCAAGTGGTATCTGACTACTTTACAAAACCCACCTAACAATATCTTATAAAATTCTAAAAATGTCTTACTTATCGATGAATATTAGTTTGACAATTTAAATACTACTGTATAATTATACCTGTTCTATAAAAGCGTGCGAAGACTTATACTGGTTATGCTTCAAAAGTCTACAAATGTGAATCGAGCAAACTTTTTATTTATATATTTCAACGATTCACGAAAGTTGACATTTGACGTATAAAATGTCTACAACACTGTTTCTAGAAGTAAAAGGTCTACTATTGCTTTAACTGTGTCGTCGACTGTTGCTGTTATAAGATGGACATAAATATCATCCATCATCATCCCAAACTGATCTTGTATATCAGGTAAAAATTTTGTTATTCTTAAACTAACGAGAATATGTGTTCTTAGTTGTTGGCCGCCCAAGCATGACTTGTAAAACTAATGGTATAAAACACGTACCAAATCACTGAACATAGTATCAACTGTATCAGATAAATTGATTATCGGTATGTTAAGTTAGTATTTTACCAGTTCTGAATTACTGATACAAACTTTTTAACAATATGGTAGTGTAGTATCAACCAAGTTTTTTATGATCTCCATTTACTTATAAATAACAACTACAAAATGACAGTCCGATTGTATAGCAAATTCATGATTAGAACCAGTGTTCAAAAAAGCTCGCCGCAACAGCCGTCGTGGCGTGCCGTGGTTTAAGGTTTGTGTCTCACGTCACGTTATGCATGTGGCACACCATGACCTAATGCATGGTTCTTATTATGCAATAAAGATTTGTCGTTATAAATCACGCCTTAAAAAAACGTCACGACCTCGCCATGGCTCTTAAGATTTGAACTTGACCTCACCGCTACGTAACGCCTCACGCCATTTTAAACCTTGATTATAACTACATATTTGCAATAAATTGATGTTGAAAAATAATGAAAATTACAACCATTTGTTGACAAAAAGTTGGTAATGGAAAAACAAGAAATTATTGATGAAAGTTGCTTTAAGAAAACAAAGGTCAACTTATAATAATTTTATTTTATTTTTAATTTAATTATTGTATTTAAAATAAACTTGATACCTGAATGAGATGAGTCATCCAAATTTTAGAAAAAGTTTTTTAGGATACCAAATGTTTATTCGGGTAAGTGTTTATCAAGTCATATTACCTTACGGGATGAATATGACAAATGCCAAGAATCTTACCTGGTAGGTGTTAAAGCAAGGACCCAAAGTCTTTTTTGGTAACTGATGACGACGAATCTTACCATGGTTAGCTTTTGCCAGGTAAATTGTTGCATATGATACCATTTTGGTGGATTAAAATCTTGTCCCGTAAGTAAGTAAATTACTCCTTAGAGTGTGTTTCATACATTGACATGAAAAAACATAAATTAACGTTCCACGTTTAGCATTACTTTTATGTGGAACAGATAAAAGTATAGTGGAATAAAGTGAACAATCGTGTTTCAACCCACCCCCCATGAAATAAGGTGAATAAATCTATATCTTACAATATTCCCTGAAATAAATAAATAAAATTTATTCTAAAACATAAATATACTTCCCTTTATATAATTTATCCAGGGTTGGGTTCATATGAGACAAGTTTTTTTACACTTGAAATTTCACAGCAAAACGCTATGAAAGTAACCTTTAAATTTTATTTATTCTATTTTATGCTCTTTAAATTTTCACTTTACTATATTCAAAGTATTTGTTTTTGCAGTTTGTATATTTATATTTAATTTATGTAATTTATTAAATAAAATAATAAAAATAATAATTCAAAATAGGTATAAAATAAAAATTAGAAATTACAAAAACTTCATATTTAAGTGTCATTTTAATCATCTTGATAAAAACTTTTTAATATCTGTTATTTGAAGCCCACATATCTAAATAATCAAAATAATTTAGCATATTTAATTATTTATAATTTGTGTACCAATATGTATTATTACAATATTTGTATTATTCAAACATAAATTTCATTTTTTTATTGAGGACTACACCAATTTTCATATTCTTAGTTTATAAATATAA